GTGCACATGTGTCCGACAATAGATGCGCGCTGAACACAAACACGTAGCTTGACTCCGGAGAACGTTCCGCCGAACTTCTTCATCCGGTGCGCGATCCGATGCATGTTTGCAATATGTTCATAAACGAAGCGCCGGATGTTCGGATTATCGGGTAGGGTTTCGTAGGATCCGTCGGGTTGCTCGTATCGTGTAAGCGGACCCTTGACAGGGCAATCGTCAATGTACGGATCGGTGACGTGGGGAATTTCGTCTCGCATAATGAAGGTGAGGTCGCCGTGCTGAATCTGGACGGAGTTGGTGAAGCCCATAGGAATGACGGTGAGACGCTTGGCTCCGAGAGGCGTTTGGAATGTTGTGAGATCACGCAAGCTTTCCGCGAGCTTCCGTTGGTCGAATCCAACGAACAAGTCGTAGATACCGTAGCAAGACCAGCCTCCGAAGGTTTCGGCATAAGTTTTGACCCGAGGCGGAATAGATGCATCCTTGATAGTGGCGGCGTTGAGAGGCTGAAGATCGTGGACCAAACGGAGAGACTTTCCATCCTTCTTGAGGACGCAGAACCAGCGCGACCGGTAAGAAGAACTGGACTCCTCGTAGACTCCGGACTTGATCTTGTCTCGGATGACGCGGACGACCTCGTCGTAGATGCCCGGAGGAATGGGAATGTTTCGGAGCGCCCAGGGAACGTGCTCGATGGTAGGCATCACTACAGGGTCAAACCATTCATCAGAGAACTTGCCTCGTTCATCCTCGGCCCAAGCGAAAGCGTCCTCGTCAGTCCGGATGAACCAGTGCGCGAGTTTGATTTCCTCGGGAGAAAGCCAGTTGTCCGGATCGACGGCCTGTTTGTCAGCGCGTTCCTGAGTGTACCGGAGTCCCGGAGTGAAGTCGGGTGGTTGAGTAGGAAGCGGGAGAAGGTCGGCTAAGATGTCGGGAGGTTCGCGTCGGACAATCCGATACTGTTCGGGAAGGGTAGTGGAGACGGGTACTGTGCGATTGGCGACCTTCCGGTAGGGCTTCTTTCCGTATGTTGGCATCCGGGCAGTCGCTGCGAAGACTTCTGTGGTCGGGGTCGGAGCGGGAACTTCGGATGAGGCGGGCGGAGTGTCGGCGTCGCTATGGACAAACCAGGATGTAAAGGTAGAGTAGGAAGTAGTGGTGGAAAGGGGAATATCAAAATAAGAAGCACTCCGAGTAATGCCATCTTCGATGATATCAACAAGACCTGAATAGATCCGTCGCTCATCCGGCAATTCGTCATACGCGCAAGAAGAATGAGTATTAGGTACGGGCGGAGGGACACAAGTATACACCGGAGCCATCGGGTCGAGCCCGGAATCACGCGGAGCATCATATGTACTTTTTCGGTTCATGGAAGGGGAGGCAGACAGAAGGGGAAGTGAAGGGTCAGACTCGGAAGGGGATATATGATATAAAAGTGTTTTCGGATAGGTAATGCGGCGGACCGGAACTGAAGAAGGAGCGGAATCGGGTAGCGATATCATAAGAGAGGAATAGGACGGGGGTATAAAAGACTCGTCTCGCCACAGGGGTTCCTCGACGGTATCTAAAAATGCTCCTTAGGCTCTCGGGAGCGGTGGACCCTTTTGAAAGTGGGAATGAGGAAACGACGGCTCGAGTTCGGATCGTGTATGGTCAAGTCCTGGCGACCGTCGGGGTAGTCGCGGGTGACAGCGGAGGTGAGACAAAAGAAGGGGCGTCCGAGGAGTACCTCATAAGGCGCATCGTTCACGATCTGAGCTTGGACGTAGAGATCGACGGGTCCGAGAGACATCTTTACATTGTGGGCGAGTCCGATGGTCTGGTTCGATGATAGGTTCGCGGACTCCATGGTGATGAACTTGTCGATGTCGATGAGCAGCCCGAGATTGTCGAAGACGTCGCGGCGCATGGCGATGATCTGCGATCCGGTGTCCAGGATGCATTCGACCTCGTACCGATCGTTGAAGATAGGCCGGATGATCCGGAGTGACTGGGTCGGAGCCGCGACAATGCATTCCTTGTTCGGATCGCGGGTGGCGGACATCAGAACTTCCACGACGTCTTCGGGGTCATCGTAGCACGCCGCCATGTTGACGGACGCGTAGTTAGTCTCCGTAGAGGGACGTCCTTCTTCTTCTGAGATGAAGCGTACTTTTTCGCTACGTCGGGCATCCGCTGCATGAGAACCTGCAAGAAGATCTCCTCTTTCTCTTCTTCCTCCAGATCAAACGGGCTCGGAAGCTCTTCGATGAACGCCCGAGACTCGGACTCGTCGGCCTCCGTATAGTGGTAGGTGCTAACCTCGACCATATTCGCGGACGCTACTCCGGAACTTGTTGCTGCTGGGGTGACGATCGGGTGAGGAGGGGCATCGCGATCCTGAGGTCTATTGTTGGCTCTCATCCAGTTGTCGATCTGCTCTTTGAACGAGTCTCCGGGGAAGGAACGATTGATAGTCTCTCTGGTCGGGAGCACCATCCATCGGCCTTCTTCGTTCCGACCGATCCACCCGCTCCGTTCGTATCGGGCCGCATCTGGACACGAGCCCATCGTGTGGTAGACGGAATGACAGAAGTGACACTTCCGGGGAGGTCTCGGATCAGTCCCTTGTGGTGCAGGAGGCGGAGGAGGACGTGATTGCTGATTCTGGGAAGATGGGGGTGGCTGAGCCGGATACTGATAGCTTTGTTGGGGAGGGACGGGTTGATAAGCGTATGCTTGAGCGGTCGGAGGCGGGGGATACGGATAGAATGAGTTCGGATTATACGGATATTGCGGAGGAGGAGGAGGATACTGCGGATGCGTTTGCTGAATGGTCATGAACTGCTGCATCATAGCTTGCAGGGCACGGATGTCAGCGGATTCGGTTTTGACCGTAACCGGAGCCGTCGGACTCACTGTCGGAGATGTCGAAGACGTTGTGAGAGTCGCCAGAGTCGACGTCCCGAGAATGAAGTTCGCTTCCGTATAGATCTCCGTGATCGTGTAAGGATCGTCCGGATGATGCTGCATGTGGACCATCGCTAATCTGTCCTTGATTTTCTGATGAGTGATCGGATCGAATCCTGCGAGATAGTCTCGTCCGACGTCCTGAGTGGAGACACTATTTTTGGAGAGAAGCCAGTTGGCCGGAACGAGAAACTTTCGGTGATAGACTCCGAGATCGTCCTTTGTGAGCATCGGGGTCTGGGACTGGAGAGCAGCAATAGTGGACAGATCCGACGGACGCCATCGTCGTTCGTTATCCGATCCGGGATAGAGCTTCCCGATACATGTTTTGAAAGCATCCCAGTCGTCTCCGTCGGCGGCATCGCCACTGCTGCGCCAGATCTCCCAGTCGGAGTCGTCGAGATATCCGATTGTAGCTCGGATGAGATCCCGGCCTTCGACCTGAGCACGGGCAGCGAGGTACTCCACTTCCGAGAAGAAGCGATGGAGTCCTTCGGGCTTTCCGTTGAATTTCGGAGCGGTATGGTGACCGCGGACGGGCATAGTTGTGGCCATTGTAGGAGGAGGAATAGGGGAAGGTGAAGAAGTGGGCGGAAGATTTTCGGACGACTCGGTGAGCGATGAGGGTGTTCCGGACGTAGTGTCGTTTGACTCCGGAGTGGGTCGGTGGTAAGCCGCGGCGGGATTATAGAACAGACTGTGCCGGAGGGATGGAGGATTAGGGCGTGATAGGATGTTCGGATGCTCGGATTCTGGGCGTCCGGTAAGTGCGAACTGCCAAATGACGGTGTTGGGATCGGGAACCCAAGAGCGGACTATTTTGAACGGAAAATATTCGGATGTCTTCCGGAAGAGGTAGTTGATAGCCCGTTGCGTCGGACCTTCCGGAAAGATATCGTGCAGAGGATCGGGAGGGGATTCGAATTCAATGACGGAATAGGATGATTAGGTGACGGTGGAACGGGTGGGGGGGTGTCTTGAACTTTAAACCCCTCGCGGTGGGCTCCAGAATGTAGTAGTGAATGTACGCGTAGACTAGTAGTGTAGTCTAGTAAAATGCGAGGGTCCGCCTCCGGCAGGACAAGTCCGTGTGACACCCGCGTGAGTAAAGTGTGATAAGGATGAGTCCGAGAGTGAAAACGAACAAGTGAGAAACTTCGGACGCTTCGGACGGCTTCAGATGGCTTCGGATGGCTTCGGACGCGCTCGGACGCGGATAGACAACTTGGCTTCGGATAGTACGACGAGGACGGCAGGAGAATGACAAGGACGGCAGGAGAAAGCAACTTCGGATCGGACTCGGGCTCGGACTCGGACAGCGGCAGACTCTGACAACGGATGAGAAGAAAGGTTCGGATGGCTTAGAATCTCACTCGATGTGGGGGGGGAACAAATCTGATTCTTCTAACTACGAGTACAGGAGGCTTTTGTAGCTAAGAAAAATGTCAGATGAAGGAAAAGTCCGAGACGAAAAGGCACCAGGAACAAATAATGGTGCTAGTATAGTCCATGTATTAGAGTCCGAGAACAAAAGATATACGAAAGATTGATCCGAGCTGTCTGATCCGTTATCACGTGTGGCCGGTACGGGTTCGTGACGTCCGAGTCATGTGCGAGCGTGTCCGAAGAGTCGGAGAGGGGTCGATAGGGGATAGGGGAGGTCGGACTGCACGGAACGAAAGGGTTCAACCCTTACAATACTCATCCCCTCCTCCACCGTCACCCACTCGAACTTAGCAATCCACCCTTGCGAGGAGAGGGCGTCGTTTACTCAATACTGCGCGGGGGCAATATTTCGTTGGGTGGACAACGGCTGCCGTACTCAGGCAGAATACATGAACGCGGACTTCGACGGCTACTGTAGAAGCTTAGAGGAAAGGGAACAGGGATGGATACGAGGGCTTGCCATGTATAGCAAATTGGAGGAGCTGCTTAGTCCAGCGTAAATTTGTACTTGAAAGCAAAATAGAATTTCAAAAAGCCTCAACGCATCAACGTCTAAGTAGCTGTCTAAGTTTAAGTCCAAGAGTGGCCACTAGCTAGGCCTCTCAGCGAGCACGAGCCTTGGCCTTGGCCTTCACCTGAGCACGGACGGTGGCAGCTCGCAGTCGGGCCTCTGATTCAGCAGTCTTGCAAAGGTAGCTAATCCGTTTGAAAGAAACCTCGTGCGGCTCAGTCGAGGAAACCCAAGTTCCGACAAAAATGGAGAAGAGGAGGTTGAGCGAGACTTGGGTCGCGGTGGGGTTGTCTTTGGGGTTGAACGTACTGATGGTGAACGCAGCAAGGACGACAGAAAACTCGTCCACATCGAATGGAGGCACCTCAGCTGCCTCATTGTTGTCTGGAGAAACACCGTACTGGGGCATGTCAGATAGGTTCTTCCACTGGTCATCTTTGTGACGGAAATCACCACGACCTCGGTGGCCGTCGTAAACAGGAACTAAGAAAGAAGTAATTAGCAGCTCTACTACTAGAGAATGTTTAAGATGAGAACTTACTGGTATCGTGTGGGCCAAGGGAATGAAGCGACTTGAGGTCAGAGAGTGTTGGGCCTACTTTGGTGCGTTGAGCACGCGGGGAAGGAGCCCCGAAAGCTAATGAGCGCCGAGTAGCCTTCTGGGGGGTGACGGGCTCTGCCAACTCTGGAGGCAAGAGGTCAGAACAGAGGAAAAAGCTTGGCTCAGACACCTACCATTTTTCGTTGGTCTGGAGGTGAACTGCAGATTGCCAGAGGTCATGTATGCATAGACTGTGTCTAGATTAAGAAGGGATCCGACAAACGTCGAGAACAGCTCGAAGAACTCGTCGAGCATCCAGCCAGTCAGGCGGCGGTGCATCCCCATTGCTGGGTTCTTTGCATTGATTGGAACAGGTTCAAGTAGCTCCGACTTGTCAACAACGATAGGCATGACAAAGACTGCGGGGCGTGTGTGGTTGGGACCCGAATTGAAGACGACCCTTTGGCTGATGACACGGAAGCTGCGGGGGTCAGCCGTTAAGGGGTTAACATAGACCCCAGAGCCACGGAAGAGCAACGAATCAAAGATAGGCCTGGCGGAAGTGAATGGGTTGAAAGGAAAGGCGGGACTGACAGACTTACACCATTTCAAACTCATCCTCCATCCTGCAAAGTACGTCCATCACCTTGGGCATGACCCCCTCTGCTTCATTTTGCGCAGTGTATTTGGGCCGAAGTTCACTGTATCTGAAAAGGAGTCAGCAGGAAATGGGGGAGTCATGAGTTCACTGACTGAAGCTTCTCCTCTATGCCAGTAGAACGAAGGTGGACGACTATGTCCCACAGGAGGGGGGGAATAGACGAGAAAACAAGGTCGTTGAGAAGCTGGGCCTGTCTCTTTTTGGGGTCGAAGATTGCTCCTTCCTCCGTGGCCACAGGCGGTACAAGTCCATTTCCAGGGGCGTCCGTGGAGGGCTTAGGTTTCATGGAGGCAGGGGTGTTGTCGTTGGCGCAAGATTCGACCTCAATGGCCTGGAAAGACAGCTTGGCGGCAACGGAAGGCTCCAACTTGACTGGGGATTTGGCCTTGGCACCGCTGGAAGTAGATGCTTGTGCCCTGGCCTTACCTTTGGAAGGGGACGAGGGTGCGGCCTCAGGAACTCGACTAGGTAGCGCGATAGGCTTTCCCTTTCCCTTTCCTTTCACAGGGAGCGGAATTTGGGCTGGTATGTCCTCCTCATCGGAATCCATGACAAATACAACACCGTCCCTGGGAAGAACGTCAACCCAGTTCTGAGGAAGGAGGCGGCAAGGACTCACAACTCTTTTACAGGCTCGGCAATGACTTTAGACTTCAGACTCGCCTTTGCCTTGCCCCGAGCCTTGAGGGGGCTCGCATTGACGTAAGCTGGAGGTGGTGAGGGGTTGCCCCAGGCTGCAGCAATGGCCTCGTCTTCCGTCTCGCCCTCGTATTCGTCGAGCGACTCCTCTGCCTTGATATCAAGCGTTGGGAGCATCGAGCTCTGAGGTATCAGGGGGGGCCTAGGAGTGTCTGGCATCAACTGATCCACCTCTTCATCGGACGAGGCGCTTTCATCAAGAGAGACGACGATGGCGTCGTCATCGTCTGAGTCAAGACGGGCGATTGGGCGAATGCTAGACAAAAGGTGGTTAGAGCCACATTGGAACTCATAGTAGTGAGCAGCCGACCGTTTAGCCAGGTGAGGCCTACACGTCTTAGCTTCCTCCGCACCTGGGATGTCTGCACTCGCCTTTGCAGTGGAACTAAGACTAGTTAGCAAGGAGGGGGTGTGAAAGAAGAGGGAGGGCGTACAGTCGAGGAGGCGAGGGAGTTTCAGATTCATGGCTAGACAAGGAGTTAACGTCTGGCGTGGACGATAAGCCAGTGGGACAAACTCTTACCGACGCTTGGCACCAGCTCTTTGAGAAGTTCTGGGTGCAGTGCCGCGCTGCGCTGGTTTACGAACGCATGTGGACGCCTTTTGAGGAGAGGAGAGCTCGGGACTGCAAGCCATAAGTATTGAGGTCAGTAGCTAACGAACTAAGATGACAAATACCTCGCCGGTGCATCCATCGACTGCGTTGCAGGCGGCATATCAAGGCCGTCCTCTACGTTGTCGACCGTGCCAAACGAAAGTCGCCGAGCAGGACGCGGCACGTCAATAGCAGCACTGAAAATACGAGGTCAACAGGCGGCATCGGCTGCGAATGGGGGCCAAACCTCATCTGGACAGCGGGGGCATCTAAAGCAGGCTCCCTCTTGCGAGGAGAGACCCTCGTGGCACGAGGAGTAGGGGGCACCGACGTGGTGCTAGTGGTGATCATGAGAGGGGGATTTTGACCTGCATAGCAAGACTTACACAGGTGAATTTGGCGGAGTGGCCAGGCTTCCATCGTCGTCCTGGGCGGCATCCAAAGCCGCAGCCTTGCGAGAACGAATCGAAGTGCGACCACGGCTTTGTGAAAGGCACCGAAATCAGCTACAGATGAACCAGCACAGGTGGAACAGGCCTCGCCTAGAGATGCGGGGAGGCATTGCTTGAGAAAATTGATAAGAAAACAGTGCAGACGAGCTGTGAGCAGTAAACAACAAAGGGTGTTGTCTGAGGATATGCTGTGAGCAATCGGCCCTACTTATAGTTCTAGATCGCCTCCAATAAGTTGTGCTCTCAACGCCAGTCGCCGCGAACACGGCCAATAGGCCAAGGACCAACGCGTAAAAGCGGTTGCTGGCGACAACGAATTGAACTTGCGGGAACGTTTGTGAGGTTCCAGCGACGAAGCGCGACACACAGAGAGTTGAGAAGAAAAAAAGTGACAGAAGCTTTGAATTGCAAGGGAGCAAAATGAACACAGCGACCTTCCAGCAGAGAGGCCTCGCGACCTCAAGAAAACTTTCCGAAAATTGCGGTGCAGCGGGAGGACCGAATGAAGCAGCGTAGAGAAAGAAAAGCGGGAACATCATGGGCGGAAGCTCTGCAAGAAACTATCGGGCAGTGCTTGCCCGAGTTGAGTATGAAGCTTGTTGATGTATGTAGTAGCCGAGAGCAAGAGCAGCAGCGCTAGCGCCGGGCACAACAAACACGTGCCCACACCTCTGCCTTTATCCATCCGTCACTGTACGTCCACCAGCATAGATGGTCCAAAAAGCTATAAAACCGCGATGCTTTCCCGACGACTCAAGGCAGAACCATGGACCGTTTCTACGACAAAGCCAAAGCTGGTAAGCTCAGCACCATCTCAACGTACCTTGGGCTCGAGCTAATCTGCACCACAGTGCAATATCTTGACCGAATTATCGCAGAGCGCACCGCCGCGGCGTCGAGCCCGCAAATGTACAGCATGGACTCAGTACGAACCTTGCAATTATGTTGCTATTGAAGCTAATACTTATTGTATAGGAAACAGAAAAATTTGGGTTGAGCATCTCCAGAGCGGATGGAGATGTGGCGTCAAGGTTGACGCAGCGTAACGCGGAAACGGGAGAGACAGAAGAGGCGACGGTTGCGCTGCAAGGGATTTTGGCTTGTGTTGAGCTCCCTCCCTTCGAATGCAAGTCAAGGTAAGTCAGATTGACTAACCAGATCCCCCTGCAATTGAACACAATCCGTCTACATCAGGAAAAGCCCTGTAGCTTTGAGGACAACAAAAGCTTGTCAGACAAATGATCATTTGGAGAAGCCTGCCAGAGAAGCTCAAAGTAGATCAAACCAGTATCTGTGGCTTTGAGAACAGGGGCTAGCCCCTTGTAAGCTTTGAATGTCTTCTACTGGCTTTCATTGTCTTTAGCCTCCCAACTCATGGTAACCAGTCCCCCAAAGGATAATCAGTCTTAGTATTTGTACACACATTGATCTTCCTGTAACTTTCTTGGTCCCCCTTTTGGTCAAGTCTTTATTAGGTGGTTCTTTTTTTGGCTTTATCCATCTTCTGAGTGTATTCTCACAGAAGGAAGTAACCTGATGACTTTTCTTTTCTTTTCTCAGCTTCTTGTATCAAGATGGATATCATTACTACTACTCCATGAATGTATAGATAGAATAGTACAAGTGCTACCAAATTGACTGATAAGCAAAGTTTGTACTGAAGTTATTAATAATCAAAGGAATGTCCTGGTCTAGAACAGTATCAGAAGTGAAGGAAGTATCGTCAATGGCATCCCATTTTGGGGTCAGCATGCAGCTCTGTCTGATGGTAGAAAGTGGAACAATGCCTCCCAATCTCCCAAAGCTTTTGCCTCCGGTTGTCCGTTGCTGAGGATGAACTTGATAGAAAAGTGTAGTTGGATTGGGGCCTGAAGGAGGCGAGTACCATTCCCCATAGGCCAAAGGCTCTTTGGGCCAGAAGGCAGGCGACGAGATTGTTGTACCTTTGGCAGAGATGGTGGAAGGCAAGGCAAAGATAACCTTGACTCGAGCAATCTTAGTACCTGGCAGGCCCGTGGACTCAGCCTGTGCAGTGGACAAAACAATGGCAGGGTCAAAGCGCCCATGAGGAGGATGGTCAGTTGCAGGAATGGCCTTTATATGATCCTTCTCCTCCACAGCATCATCAGCGATCCCCTCATGAACCATTCTGACCATGTGCCAAACATTAAGGGTATCAAAGGGCAGTGCCAGGTCTGGCACAGTTGATTTAGGCTTTCTTGAACCTCTGGGGGCCAGACTGTTCAGATAATCCCGTAGGTGGTAGGTAAAGTTTGGAGATCGGTGCTGCTGGATGATGAAATCCATGGATCTGGAAGCGTTTGGAAATTTTGCAAGAGAGATGGCAAGTGTAGGTTTTTTATCTTTGGATGGGAATGTGACGATCTCCTTAACGTAGTTATCGAACACCTGTAGTTTTTCCTGCCTTGAGAGCCAGTCGATCATTTGGGGAAATTCATTGCGTTTATTGCTGGCTCTCCAGGCCTCCTTGGCAAAATCTATATGCAGGCGCTCGAACATCTCTGTGTTGTAGTTGTCGGTGGTGCCAAATCTCTTGATTGATTCCACATAATGGGTCATGGAATGATATTTGGGAATGTTGAAGTGTTCTCGACAGCCAATCTCTATGAAGATTTGCCTGTGGTCATGAAAGCCCTGTAGAGCGTCTTGAAGATATTGTAGAGTGTCGTCGTCATGGGTCTGGTACTGGGCAAGGTAGATGAAATCAAGGAGGTGACGTGCCGCAAGTAACGCTTCCTTGGACATTTTGCCAAGCAAGCATGCGAGAAGGATTCGGCCAATGCTTTTGTGTTCTGAACCAGAAACCTGGGACAACACTGAGATGCCCTTGCCAAAGTGACGTACTCCGTAGCAAGGAGGTAGCTTTTGCATTCGACGATCCAGCTCCTTCTCTGACATAGCAGATTGGCACCATTCCGTCAGCATGCTCAGCACCCCTTGGTACAACTGGTGCAATACGTCTGGTGTGATGGCCATATGAATATCTGCGTAGGGAAAGCCCTTCCAGAAGGGCTCATACACCCCTCCGGCAACCTTCATCTGTAAGCAGTAGTCGTGAAACTGCCTCCCTCCGGGGGTGGATTTCTCAGCATCCGCCAGTCTCTCCAGAGTCCACTGAGAAGTACGATCGGCCGACTTTTCAAGGGACTGAAGTTCCTGCTGCTCGGCTTGGCACTTCGGGCATGTTGTATTCTTTGCACATGCTACCAGGCATTGTTCAGGGTAGTCCGCGACATAGGAAGCCAGAATAGGGAAGACTCTGCGAACGTCTCCTTTTCCATCAGTCATCTTCACTCCCTTGGTGCCAGCTTCGATGAGAGGAGAAAGAATGTGGCGCATAGAGTCGTGAAATAGCCTCTGCCCTCGACACTTGAGTTCTTTTTTGGTGAGGCCATCAGGATTAATTTTATCGGGGGAAAGGTAACCCAGGAGAATGCATGCATGTCGAGTGGGCTTTCGGCGGATGGCCTTGGGAATGTTGCCAATAGTTAGATAAACAGGATATGCAGATTTACTCCCAGAAAACTGGGTGAGATGAGTTTTGTCCGTAGCGATGATGACTGGAGCGATCGTGGCTCCCTTCGCCAGTTTCCCCTGCCAGAAGGGAAGATATTTAGTTTTAATCTGTGTCCCAAAATGCGCATAAAAGTTCATACCTGCAATGTGTTCCACCAGTTACCGGTCCACATCTCTGAGTACACCCTTTCCTTCCTGCTCATGTTGGAGTAGACCTTACAAGGGGCAAAGACAAGGTCGTTACTGAGAGAAGGATCTGCCCAGAGACTTTTGATGACCTCGATGGGATTTCGGTATCGTATGATGAACTTCTCGTTTGGGCGATCAGGGTAGCGCAGGATTTTGGCCTTCCACCGGCCACTCCTCTCAGGAATGTCATCAAGAGTTTTGTGAATTTGTCGAACGTTCTTGAAGGACAAACCCAGCTTTTCCACCACCCCAGGTATCTTCAGCAGCCTGTCAAAAGCAGCGTGCCCAGGGTCCTCCTTCACAAACCACTTGGCAATTTGCCAATCCAGCTCAGATGCAAAGGGAAGATAGGGATTTGGTGTATCACCATCGACAGAAGTCATGTCAACGTCGCCCTCTGAATCGACGGTGTGACCGAAAGCGGCGGCCCACTTGGCATGGAGCTTTTTGTCTGTGGCAATGACGAATGCTGAATCGGGATGAGGTATGCTGTGCCTGGAGTCTGCGCTGTCATCCAGAGTCAGGTTCGTCTTTCTGGGACTGGAAAAAGTGGGTGGGATTGTGGAAGAACAACCAGGCCCTGCTGCTGGACCTTGGTCGACACCGAGTAAGGAGAATGGCTCCGGTGGGATACCAGGCAGAAGATGGAAAAGTTCTTCCTCATCAAACTCATCCAGCGCTTCGTCAGGTTCATAATCATCCTCCTCCAGCTCAGGATCATCCTCAACAAGGATCTGAGGCACAGAGATCATACTGTAGTCGTCAGCGCTAGCTGGATCGTACATCTTCCCTTTCCCCTTCTCTTCTTGGCGGTTCTCTTGTAGCTTTTGCTCTGTAAGCCACCACTGACAATTAGCTGCCTGGGCCAAGTGCGAGGCAGTGCCGCCAGAGGATTTAAAGTTCTATATTCACTATTTAATCTGTTGACCCGCACGTAACAGCAGGATTGACATACTTTGTGGCATGCAGGGCAATACATTGGATACCTGGTCATGATGTCGACATCCACGTCCAACATTTGCCCTGGGTCTTTTGAGGAAACCTTTGGCATTACACTTCACACCTCAAGGTTTCTTCATCAAAGGGCTGAATATAAGAGTGAAATCGACTGAACTCACCAGGATATGATCGTAAAGGTGACAGCTAAGCGTCCTGTAGTCTCTCCAAGAATGCTGGCGTTGAATGTGGTAAGTGCTCTCAAGTAGACGTGTCCGTGTTTTGGCAGTTGAAGTACAGCAACAAGGGATCAAAGATCTTTAACGACGAATCTGATTGGCAGATACCTAAATAAACTGTGAAGGAACCAAAAAAAAGTCTCTATGGTGTGGGACACCTAAACACCGCCAATTTGGGACAACAGAAATGGAGGCATGATTTGGGCCCCGATTGATTGATCCTTTAGCCAAATGATAGTGTTTTATAAGTAGTCTAACTTGTCTAGAGCGATTGTCAAGTACGTCAAAAATGAGTGAGTTATTTCCTTTGGCTGTGGGTGATTTTGCGCGGTCACGTGTATGAGTATATATGGTAATTCAGGGTCCACTGATAACCAGATATGGTAATTACTGATAATCAAAACGATAAGATAAGATATAATGTATCAATCTTCCCTCTGAGAAACACGGCGATGTGACTTATACTTTGTTGAACTGAACCTGCGAACTTCGATTTGAGCCTCTTTCGCTCCCATCCCTTGATGATATGCATTCATCCAACAGTGCATGTGGTGCTCCCATTTCCGGATAGTTTCAACTTTCACCGATTGAAGAGCCTTGGGCATATTTTCTTTCAAGGTCTCGAAGGTGTAATCACAGTGTTCGGCGAGGTACCGCTTGACAGCGCCCCAGAAGAACTCAATAAAATTGAGTTCACAATGAAACTTGGGCAGGAAAATGCAGCAGTGGCCTGCTGCCTCGATGACTTCTTGAACCAAGGACCGTTGAGATTTGAAATCGGGCTGCAAATCAAGAATACGTTTAGCGCAGCAATTGGTTGTCTTACAGCTGTCCTTGCATTGCATACGCAGTCCATCCTTCCATAACCCCCGCTCAATCAGGACTTGTTTCATTCCTTTTGGCTCGTTTGGATGTTCTGGGTGATCAGCGGGAAAGACCATTGCCTGAATAACCTTTTGGTTATCCTTGAGATACCATCCATCACGAAGTCGAGCTTGTTTGCCACCCGGTCGGAGGTTCATTCGACTTGTTAATAAGGCATCGGTGGCGTATGCCAAATGTCCTTGTGAGTTGTCCACGATGATGAGAGCCTTATAGCCGGCACCATGATACTTCTCGAACGTCGGTATAATCTTCTCCTTGAGCTGAAACAGGATCAGAGCATATCCAAACCTGGTCAATTCCCACAACGCACCTGCTTAACAAACAATTCACCTGTCCAATATCCATCATAATTCTTTCCATATTCCAACGTCTGGCTGGCTTCCGGTAGCCAACCATATGTGGAACAAATAACATCGCTCTGATGCAGACCTCTGCCTACCCCTTTCTTCCTTAGTG